AGCCATGCACCTAGTTTTGCACCATATCTCACAATAAGATATAACATTTATATCTGAAATTCAACAGTGTTGTCCTTAAGGTGCAAACCACAAGAGTACAGTTTAGAGAATCATGTGAATAGAATACATTCTAGAAGAACAAACAAAGCAAAGAGTTCTTTTCCTTGACAAGCAAGCTCCTTTTTCCCTCCTAAACGCTACTTCACATTCCCCTTTGTCTTTGCAGATGCAACCAGCGGGATCAGTCAGGCCTGAAAGTCTCTCTTAAGCATGCTGGTAATGTTCTGGTGGCTGCCCACTGCTTCACTGGGTGAATGGGTTAAATGCAGAGGAACTATTTCCCTATGGGGACTAACATGCACACTTTACACTTTACACACTTTTCTTGTCAGAAAGCTCATTTAGCCCAGTAGGTCCACAATGTGTGAAAGTGTTACAAGCATTTGAGCCCCACTCCATGTCTCATCCATGACATTTTTGACTTAATTCTCTTCACTCCCATGTGCATGGACTCTTAATTGGTACGATAATGACTGCAAACCAACTGCTCTGTAGAGAGGACGATCAATAAGTGCTATAGATCTATATGAGGAAGTTCTCCACTCAAGCTTATCTATTGAATTTAACCCCTCTCTTGCTTTCAGTAAATCCTGTCCACTCTGTTTTGGACAAGTAACAAGGCTCATAGAAACCTTTTTAAAGCACTTTGAGTGGTTAGGAAGAACGTAAATGTAACTCTAGTCCATATTTCCACTAGAAGATCATTTTATTTAAGAATAAAATAATTATGAGGGTAAATGCACTGTGATGGCCAAACCCGTGGCCACACTCTAAAGTCGGTAACTTTTGTATTTTCATTCTTCATTTGAACATAGTAATACATTTTAGTTGCCAATAATTTCGTTGATTGGTTTGGATACATTTGTTCTATTTGTAAGCGCACACATTTAGTTTACTTATGTATTCATACTACTTCATTTCTTTGCTTTCTGACTAATAGTGATGGGACGTTCTGTATCGAGGCTTCGGAGCGTGTGTCGAGTAATGGAGGGGGCGTTTCCGCGAAGCGCGTATCGAGGCTTGCTTCATTTATGGGAGGAGCTGAAAATGATGACGTCCGAAGCCTCGCTGCCCGGCTGTACCACGTGACTGGTTCATGAAGTGGTTCGAACTTTGCCGCGAGATATGACAGCGATATAAACCCCTCAGACTTCATTCAAAAATGTGGGTGTTTGATGGAGAGTTGCGGTTAGTGAGAGTTTGGAGACAGTTTGGAGGTTTATGAGAGTGAGGAGAGAAAGTCAGGAGAGAATGGAGCCAGCTAAGAAGAGGAGGATGTCCTCCCCTGTGTGGGAACATTTTGATCTTATTCCTCCCAACAAGGTATGTAAATTTCTACAGAAGATGTATTTTCATAATACTGATGGTGCAATACAATTTATGTTAAGCTGTCTTGACTTTTGTACAAGGTGAAGTGTTTGCTATGTGCCAGGGAGCTGGGATATAACAACAACACCTCATCCATGCTTAGGCACTACAGAGCTTTGCATGAGAATAAGGGGGAACACCGATTGTGGAGCAAGACCAGGTGAGCCATCAAATGCACATGATAATATAGCATGCAGTAATGTTACTAAATGATATAACAATATTCATACACTGTAATAAGTTACGTGTAGTGATATTTATATTTGTGCTTTCTTTATTGTCTTTCCTCAGGAGAACAATCTCAAATAGATGAAGACCTGGTCAGCATGGTGATTGAGGACTCCCAGCCATTTAGCATTGTGGAGGACAAAGGATTCATATAAGATTTGTTAAATCATTAAATCCTAGCTATGTTCTCCCCACTAAAAGGTCATAAAAGCAGTGAAATTTAGTTTTTACAGAATAAAATGTGGGAGGACTAGGTAAGCCTAGGTGTAGCTGTCCATACCTCAACGTTACAAAAGCACAACTACTGTCCACACCCAACCACACCTCACCTCACAGTAAATGATCATTTCCATTTCAAGCATTTCCAAATAATCATTTTCCATACTGCCATATAAATATACACAGTATACTGCCATCACTACAATATACATGTTTTACACACTCCTTTTGTTGTTGACATTTACAGGCTGTGTGCAAAATGCCACACTCTTCAAATTCATGCCAGCTATTATTTTTACGTCCAGTAGGTGTCCTGCTAGAGCAAATGAAGCTTCATGAAGCTTCGCGTTGGGGTGAACCAATTGGATGAAAAGCTTAGTTTCTTATGGTTCATCTCCTCATTCATGCTTCTGACTAACCTTTGTCTTTTTATTTCTTACCTGCCATCATCCCTGGGAGTTGCTGGACAAAAGATGGCAGCCAGGGTTTGAAACCATTAAATACAAAGGAAGATAATTGGACCACACCACCACTTCCTGCTGAAGGGGGGAATGTGTGTTTTCTTTACTTTAAAAACAAAGTATTTGTATTTAATTAAATATTTGAGTTTAGGGTTTAATGGGGTTTTTGATTTTCTTCTTTAGTGTTTAGTTTATTAACAAACTAGATTGTACTGCATCGTTTGTGATTTATGATTGTGTTTTGTTTGTTACCCCTCATGTGTCACAATGGTCTGATCAGCCATTATATATACCCTTGTATGTCATTTCATGTTTAGGTCAATTATGTATGTTTGGGCAGTCATTTGGTTTGTTAAGGTTGCAGTCTGTGCCTGAGTTCAGTTTTGTTTCTTTGACCTCTTTTACGAGCTCAACATTTATTAGTCTTGTAAATAGAATTTTTGGGGGTTAAATAAATGGAAACTATATTTTTCTAATAATTCCTGGGCTCCTCCTGTTTTTCAACTCGGTCCATCACATGCACATTATTTGCTTGTGCTGATATTAGGAAAGAAATAAGAGTGACCAAAGCAATACCTTTATAAAAATATAAATATATATATAAATGTTTTTATTTGGGTATCTGGCTTAAAAGTTAAGTTGATCAGTTGTACTAAGAACTGAGAAAATTAAAATTACTATTAATATTCACTAAAATCTATTATTGAAAAAAATCTGTTAAATCTAGTTTTCAGGTCCCTTGAAGTCGCTGGCTATTTATTTTTTTTTTTTTTAACCTGGCAAAACATCCTGACATTTGGTCAGTAAAAGCTCCACAATCCAAACCAAATGGCACAGACAAAGTACTACCACGAAACACAGAATCAGTGACACCAATGTCAGTAAATCTGGCCTAAAAATTGAGAACTCAACTAAACCGATTATTATGTGTCACATTCTGCAAATGGCAGAAATACCACTTGTCACCTATAGCTGTTACCTTGGGTGGCTGTGGATCAGGTAGAGCAGGTCATTTACTCATTAGATGTTTGGTTGTTCAATTCTTGGCTGCTTGAGTCTGCCTGCTAAAGTACAGGCAACATACTGATCCATATTCCATATGCGGCTTTTGTGAATGTATGTGTGTAAATATAAAGCGTGTTCCATAATTTTACCTCTGTTGGTTCAACACTCAAATTGTTTTTCTTTGAATAGACCGTTTCACTGAATTAGCCACAGGTAACAAAACAAACTGAAGGCTCATGCACTGTGTTTGACATTACAGTTTTTCTGTTAAATGTTTTTGTGCTTTGTTGTTAGAAATATAGAAACCCTGCCTCTAAGCCTGAATGTTTGTTATCACTTGTTGGATATTAAGAGATTTAATACACATAAGAATATTTAAGCACATTTCACAACACGTGACTGTGAACTTCAGCTGTTTTACACAGAAATAAAATGCCTCTAGCGTTCTACTAAAACCTGCTACAGAGAATTTCTTTCTAATCTAAATCTTCAAACTCCACTTGTGAAGGCCTAACCTCACTACTGGCTGTGCAGCTTATTCCATGTTTGAATATTTCTTTTTGTTTTTGGCTCTCCGTGGTTATTGCAACGGTCTCAAATAAATGAATTCAAATGTTAAAAAAGTACAGAAGTGATGGATTAACCAGTGAGGAGACAATGACAAACTGTTTAATGAACTACATGCAAACATGTCAGATGTAAAGATGAAGCAAGTCTTCAACCAGGAAAAGAAAACAAAGCAGCAACTCAGGCCTGCAGCGAAACACGGATTTCATCAATAAAACGGGAAAAATTCACAGGGGAGTGAAGGCGATGGGGGAGAGGGCTGTGGGTATGCATGACACGTAAAGCCATATCGTTCAGGTGCTCATACGTCACAGCTTTGGACTACTGGGAACCTGCGTCATCACGCTTCTTTATTGACGCTGGCACAACTACTTTACGGTGAAATCCGTCCGTCTGTCCGTCAGCCTCACAGTTGCTCACGTGGCTCCGCCTGGTGGCAGAAATCGCAACAGTTTGAGTCACAGAGTGAAAGCATTCCGAGCAGACTGACGTGCAACGAAACACAATAAACGCTTTTAGCTAAACTTCAGACACAGTGGTGTGCACGTGGTTAATCTCCACAGATCAGCCAAAACACAAAGATTTCAGTTTGACTGGGAATATGTATTCCATAACCCAGAGTTGATTCACTGCTGCCCCGAATACACGGAAACCTCAGCCAACAAGAACGAATCACTTTGTTTGGACAACTACTGGTTTCCATTTGGACATGTTGGATCATATTTGACTGATTTCTCGTGAGATGCATATCGAATGTAACAGGTTGCTTTACTGGATAGTTGAGCCAGGACTTCTGGTGGCCAGATAAGCCCAGTCTGGGTTATGCAGAGCTTTGAGTAAACAGATGGAAACTCACTAAACATTCTTTTTTTTTCTTTTTGCACTGATGCAGCTTTTGAGTGTCATGGCCCAAAATGTCATCAGAAACACAAGACTGACTGCGTGACCGACTCCTTAGTAATGTCTCATCATCATCATCACCATCGCTATCTGACTCATTCGGCCTCTACTCCCACCCGTCTCCCTCACACACTCACGCGGTGTAACCCCTCCCTTCTCCGCTGCTGCTAAACTGTATAAATAACCTCTGTCGGAGTTTGGAAGCAAGGTACAGCGACCTGCAGAGTGAAAACAAGACACCGAGGAGGAGAGAGAGTAAACCCTCTGCTGCTGCGAGAGACCACCTGTGGCTGCCACGTCTACCTGTAACCTCCAAAGTCTTCTCAAAGTAAGTCTCCACACTTCTCACACAACCCGTGCTTTAACTTTCTTTGACTCCAATAGGAATTTGTTGATTTGTTTATATACCGGTAAATAAATAAATAAATAAATCAAAATAATCGCAACTTTGCTGAGCAAAACGTACTTAAGATAAAAGGTTTCTTCTGCTCGCTTGCCTTTAAGCGTTAATTGGTGTCCAGTAGCTTGGCTGAGGTGACATCTGGAGCGCGTTCAGTACCACGGACAGCTCAGCCTAGTTTTACCACACAACACATGCCATCGTTTTGCCTCAGGATCCACATTTGTTTCGTTTAAAAAGTATTTTTTTAAAAGCAGAACTTCAATATAACCGATTACAGCAGAAATGTGCGCAAAGGTCACTGTTGCTGAACTTGATCAGATCTGCTCTAAATTCTGAAGATCCGCTTTATAAGACCTGCTGAAGGAAGGAAAAGGACTTAGAACAAAATCTAGTGGCCTCAGTTGCTATTTTTTTTTAAATAATATTTTATATTTTTCAAATGAATAAATACATAAAAGGAGGATATACGTTTTTCTTATTTATTTATTGAAGCAACTCCGACTTTAATCTATAATTCACCCCATGCAATTATTTAGAAAAGGACTGGAAAATACAGCAAATAAGCAAATAAATAAATAGCCGGGCTGCAGGGTGCGAGTGGGGGTAGAGAGCAGAGGTTTCTGGCACACTTTCATCTGCTCCCACACATGCACGGGGAATAGGAAACGTGCTGGAGAGGTTCACACTCCAGCAACATAGTACTCATGGTAGGTGAAGGCCACATTCACATAATACAGTTATTCTACCAAGAGTCTTGGTGGAGATTTACTGCTGCAAATGGAAAATGCGAAAAAAGTCGCAAAACGCAAATAAATAAATAAATAAACAAACAAATAAATGAAATGCTACAATAATATTTTATTTTAAGGATTTCACAAAATATTGCGGTTCTTTTTTGTTTTTAAGTTGTTGGTTAGACAAGATTTACATACAGAGTTTTAAAAGACAATTAGATTGTAGACTGCTAGTTCTGGCCTGATTAAATAGTGTGGGTGTGCGATCCCCTGCTAAATGTGGCACAGCATATAGACCAAAACACCCAGAAGGTAAATCCTGAAGCAGCTGGTGCAGCTTGTCAGATGTGAGCGTCTGTTAGTTTCATGGTTTTCTGTAAGTCTGAATGGAAAAAAAAAAGAAATTCAATTTAGATCTCTTTTTTTAAAATTCAATTGATTGTGAAACAAATTAAACAGTGAAATGGCCAAACTAATGCAAGTGATAATTAAGCTCCTTACTGCCATTTTCAACAGCCTCTGGACATTTCCACCACAGACTCCACAGAGGACAGAGGGATTTTTTTTTTATGCTTTATGTTAGTTGTGCAAATTTACGAGTTTGCAGTTTTTAAATCTGTGCAGACCTGGTATGGAGCAAACCAGTGACTTCTGGGGAAAATGGACATGCAGTTACTTTATCTGACTGTTAATCCAGACATACACAGATTTATAGTTTGTTGTTGTAAAAAAAAATACTTGTTTAGTTATCAACAAGAAGTTACAGCAAGATTTCTCTCTTTGTTGAAAGGCTTTAATCCAGGATTCTAATTAATAATTGTAACAGCAGGAGCAGATTTGGTAATGGTATGATGTGATAATGAAATAATCGTCATAAAGCTGATACACTTCAGTGGAAATCCAGTTCCTCACACAGCATGCTAGTTATTATTATTATTAATGCAAATTAAACCTTTCTGTAAACTCCATTAAACCCACAGCCTCCGTGAAGATGCGTGAAATCAGTTTCCTCCTCTAGAGACAAATCCATTTTCTTCATCTTCTTTCAAAAGACAACAACTTTCAGGGAAGAGCTGACAAAAAAATCAATCACAGCCCAAAGCCCTAAAAAACATTAAAGGTATATATTGACTTGTTTAACCGCTTCACACACCTCCGTTTACTCATCAGCCTGAGCAGATATTACAGATGAAAACAGATGACATTTGCACCCCTCAGGAGAGGTATGGTACGGGTCGAAGGTTTTGTCATTAGACAGGAAAGCCTTTATTAGACTCAAAGTATCTTTTTTAATGTATTTATTTATTTGTAAGATTTCATTTAGGATTTATTTATTATTTCCTTCTTTTTTGTTATTTTTCATTATGAATCAATGGGAAATTAGACTTCAACAGTGGTTAGATTTCCATAGCATTTATGTGCCTTGTTACAGATGGTTGTGATACTGAAACCTTGGACAGTGCTGGTGGCCTTAGTGCTGTGTGTGCTGGTCTGTCTGGGAACACTGGCTGATGCCTACCCCCCCAAACCCGAGAACCCAGGAGAGGATGCTCCTCCTGAAGAGCTGGCCAAATACTACACTGCCCTGAGACACTACATCAATCTGATCACCAGGCAGAGGTATGACCACACACACATACACGAGTGTGTGCCCAACAGGCACCGCTGTTCAGGACAGCCTTGAAATGAATGTGGTCCTCAAATGACATTTAGATTTGGTACCATGAGAAAATGACTGAACTTGAAGGAAAATGGTGATTTCCAAACAAATAAAGAAACCATTTCCATCTCCTGCATTAAATTTCAATAAGGATATCAAGGTAAATTTAACAAGGTAAAAAACAAGAAAAAAAGATACAGCACAATCTGCTTCATCACCAGTGAAATGACGTGTGCCATATTTGAAAATGTGGAACGAAAAAACAAAAAAGCTTGAATTAATTTTTTTGTTCAGTTTTCTTCCACCAAAAAATCCTGCAAGGCAGGGCACCAATATGAATATTTAATGGTCCCACACTAATAACCTTTCCCAAGTCTTTAAGTATTGTTTTTACTGTTGTGGATGATCCACATGAAGCTGGGCATGAAGAAAGTATGTGAGTTAAATCACTCATAAACAGCCCTTGAAAAATCCCCTCAAAATTAATGACCCTGAGCCAACTGTAGGTGTTAAGCTAAATGTGTTAGTGGGGAACTTGAGCCTTTTCTTGCTTCTTTCCTGCCGATCTTACTTTATTCCAGACTTCATTTTATCTTCCTTGAGTCATTAAAGCAAGCTGGTTCATACATAAGCCTGGAGCTCTGTCAATGTGTGATGTACACCCTCTTCCTCCCCAACACTTCACACAATGAGATTATAGATTAGATTACTGTCCACTCTCCGAAACCTTCAGGCCTCGAAATGAGCGGGACCAGAGCAATAAAATCGGCGCAGACCGACCCAAGAAAGAAGCCCAAATTCAGTTAGCAGGGCCCAAGCTAAAGCCTGCTGCTCTCAGGTATAAAGATCACCAGTATGGAATTGTCAGAGGGTGTTTCATCATTGGAAACAGTCACACTCGGGAGCTATCTGTTCTCATTCATGAAAGTCAAATAGGCCATTGGTATTTAAATACATCCAGTGCTATAGAAAGTTTTTGCATTTCACTAGAGAGGTGCACATTATGGTTTTCACAGTGGGTGTGGGTGTTTGTTAGGTTTAGACACACTAGATACAACTGATAGCTCTATGAGGTGTAACCACAAATGAACAAAAGAAAACAAAAGTAAAATTTGCATAGTTATTATATCATATGTGCTATATTGTGACAATGTTAATATTTAAATATTGCATTTATCAGTTACCATCACATGTAGCCACGCTTTTCAGTGTAAGTAGCATTTCTTACTACTCCAAATTATATGGAAAATTATACACAAATACATCAAAAATACCAAAACTAACAAAGACACGTTCATCCCCAACTGGCTCAAACATTTCACAGAAAGCTGTTTTAACACATGAAGGACTGTGAAGATGTTAAAGAGGATGGATTTTAATTCTGGTGACTTTTGTCTTTTTTTTTCTTTTTTACAAATATCCATACAACTAATCAATTAAAAATTAATTCAAAAGAACACTCAATCCTTAGATTGAGCTTTAGATTTAAATTAAGGTCCCACAATTGTAGGAATTGCAGGCGTGAGCCTGTGAACCTGCTTGATCATTTCAGTGCAGCACTAACAGAAAATGTTGAAAGTATAATATTATTACATTTCCTTAAGTAAGAAATCCGAGCATTTCTTTCACCACTGGGGAGAAGAAGACACAAAAGGACACATTAAGGCTAAAGAAAAAAATATTGGTAGATTGGTAGGAAGATTGAGGTATCAACCAGCGGTGAAAACATTTTATATCCTGATATGTTGCCAGCTGTGTGACAGCTGAAACAGTACATGTGCGCTTCTTGATTGCTTACCTGCAGGGAAGCACACACTGAGGAAGTAACGGAGCATAAGATTGGGTGCTGAGGTCATAGGGGAGGTGGAACAGATGTTTGATGGGAAAACAGAAGAACTGCAGGCCGCTCTGCGGGACCTGAGATGATTGTTTCGCACACATAAACACACACACACACACATTACCAAGTAAATTTTCAGTTAAACGGCTCTGTGATTTTACGTTTGCAGGCTCTTTTGGAACCCTGGTTTCCCATCAAGGGAATGATAAAAACCCAGCCAGACTTGGAAATGACAGCCTCGTACACACATTAAAACAAACACACACTCTTGAATTTGAATCTGACTGTGACATTAAAGCATTAGCAGCAAACAAAAGGGAACAGCTTGGAAAGGTAGAGGTAAGAGAAGACAGGTGACAGACTGACAGACAAGTGTGACGCACCAGAACCAAAAGTCCAAAAGTCATGTGTTTGTTGTGAGAGGAATAAATGTGGTCACTGGTTTGAATCAGGTTGCTGCACACTGCTGATGATTTTGAAAGGAAGGACACAATCACAGACAGAAACCTGCCAACAATAAGAAAAAAAACAAAAAAAAACCTGATTAACACAAAGTGTCCAAAGTGACGGCATGACAAGCACATCTCAAATAAACAAATATAGTACCAACAAAAGCAGACAACATACAAACAACCTAACAAAGTCTTAGGGAACAGACACTTAACACACACCAGGGAACAAGATAACAAACCCCAGGCAAACTGAATCAAACACTAACAAGGGTGAGGAAAAAAAGGAAATAACTTTCAAAATAAAACAGGAAATTGTAAGGTTGATCAAGAATGAACTCTAAACTCTAAGCGGTGCAGAAAATCACAAAGAGAACTTTCAAAAGCGCAGTGGAAGAGAAAATTTAGAGACAGACAATTGAAACTGTGTTGTCATAAAGACAGTGTCGTGGAGATGTGCAAAACTCTTGACTTCTCATTTTTAAAAAGTATTTTTCTACACAAATGGAAAATAGGTGCAGCGTTTTATTAAAATGTGTACATACATGCATGAGAATGCATTGTATAAAGCTACATTTTAACAAGCTTGAAAGTCAAAATTTGGTATGGCCAACTTTATTCTATAACACAGATTGCTGTAGACATTCACAGTTTTACCTCTCGTGAGCTCTTCTGTGCATACTCATACAGAACCTTCAAATTTGGTTTATCACTCTAGAAGACCTACTGGCACTGGTTGATAATTTGGGCTACCTTTGTCCCCATTTCCCTTCCTTAAGCATGGTTTCCTGACAGCCACCGTTTCATTGAGACCATTTCTAATGCTTCAGCAAACAGTAGATGGATCATGCATCTCACAGGTCTTCATTGGATGTTTTTCTATTTCTTCATATCATGAAAGCACACTTTCATGTTTAGCTGTCTGTGTATTATTTGGCCTGTCACTGCTTTGTTATTTTCTTCACTTATCCAGTTTCCAAAGACTTTTTAAGCACATGGGGCACATTATATCCAGTTTTCCGTTAATAACTCTTTCTTTCGGAATCACTTTTTTTGGTGCAGCTATTGGTGAAACAATGTTATCTTTGGCATTATTCATAGATCCAACTAAAGAAATGGAAACATATATGTTTATGCAACAGAATGCTAGTAACAAAGTACCTAAAGATACTATTCAAACTGTTTTGATAAAACTAATCCAACCCTTGAATTGTGTGACTTGAATCATCCTTGAATCATTGATGGGTCAGTGTTGGTTGTCTTCACAAGACATGAAAGAAAGAAACAAAAAACTCCTCTGTAAACATTCACTTACACATAAATGAATGAAAAGCAGTCAATGGCCAATGTGGGGTGACTCAAGACCTTTGGACCACCTACAATATTAAATATACCATATAACAGTTACAGGAGCTGCATGGTCATGAAAACTCATGCTATGAAGTTCCCAGTGCTCATATTCTGCTGATGTTTACGTCAGATGATTGTTGGTACTTTAGTGTACTTTTACACATTATGTGCCTCAGAATTTGACAGCTCCAATCTAACTTATGAGTGCTGTGATTTCTAAATGCATACACTTTGCAATGATACCACTTACAGTTGACTGTGGGATATCTAGGAGGGAAGAAATTTCATGAACTGACAATGGTGACATCCTATCACAGTAACAGCAGAATGACTTATTAGTTGTTTGTAAAGGCAAACTGCATGGCTACAGGCTTGATTTTATAAACCAGTGGCAAGGGGACTAAAACCACAGTGCGGCACAATGTATTAGTGTATATACAGATATACAGTGTATATCTCAACAAAAGACGTGCGTGTTTCATCGGTAGCCAAATGAGTTTAAACTTATTATGGGGTTAGTATCTTGCCCGAGGATAATTGGCATGCAGACGGGGGGAAGCCAAGGATCGAACCACCAACCTTCCAGTCAGTAATTGATCTGCTCAACCACCTGAGCCACAGCCACCTCAGTGATTTTCAGCCTGTACGAACAGCTGTATATTTTTTCCTGTGGCTCTAGAGATTAAATTCTATCTTATGTCAGATAAATAATCCCTACAATAATATAGAGGATGTGTGCAGTCATGAAAGATGTATGCTGTAGAATCATTCCACCTGAATGCAATCATGTGCCACAAAAGGCAGGAGAAAAGACTAAACACCTTATCTGCAGATCTCATTTCATATCAAGCTTTGAGGGGCGTGTGTTTTCATATTTGTAACTAAATTCTTGAAAATCTGTTAAAAAACATGGATTATTATGGATTATATAGAGACCTCTGTAGCAACCACCAATGTGGCATTCATGGTTGTATCATGGGTAATTTAGGATCCAGTCTTATAGAAGGATTAAAGGTCAGTGTATAAGGGATCCTTGCTGCTTCTATTTTGACTCTATACCAATGAGCTGCACTTTGTGTGACTGATTTACAATAAAAGCAAATCTGTTTTTGTAAAGGAGAGTGAAACAGCAGCATTAGGAAGTGTTTGGATCAGCAGTCGTTTCGAGAACAGAAAATGCACTGTGGTGGTCTGAGTCGAGGGGGAGAATGGTGAACCTTTCCACTAACAATGATTATTAAACAACAGAAACATTTACAGAGGCAAACTGTCATGAATATCTATTTTTCCAAAATAATGCCAACATGAAAGCATAAAGACTGAGCTTTAACTTCATGAAAATGATCACAATTGCAATTTACAATAAAAAAAATGTCTTCTTCACTCTCAGGTATGGAAAGCGTTCAGCTCAGGAGGACGTGGTCGCAGAGCTGCTGTTTGGTGGCGATAACACCAGAGACCAGAGATCAAGGTAAAGATCCTCAAATGTAAAAACTGAAGATGTCACATGAACTTAAAGAATTTACACTCTTCTCTCATTGGCACATTATTTCCTCTCTCTGTCTTTCAACAGATATGATGACTCTTACATGTGGTGATTCTCCTCCCTCATCGGACATTCCCTCTGGGTACATCCCAGAATGCACCTGGAGGGGCCGACATGTGCCTCTTCTTCCCTGTACTCTAAACCCAACAAAAGAGCATCTCTGACGGATCACAACCTCCCTCTGTTTCTCCTGTTGTTGTTTCACATCTCTGTCACTCCAACAAAACTGTACATAATTTATTATTAAAATAAAATATATATGTATATGAAATCACAGAAGGTGGAACTGTGTCTGTGTGTGTGCGTGTGAGCTTTGGTGTCCTTCGACTGTCCATCAGACTGGAGGAGATTCTTGTTTTGCTGTTTGTATTGTGAAAAGTAACATCATAATATGTGAATCAAATGTTTTCTGTGAGAATAAAAGTTCCCAAGGACTCATGATCTTTTCTTTTGTGGCCTTTTATGTTCATTTATAACTCCGTATTTTAATTCTACCCGCTACTATAGCTTTGCCTGATTCAGAGTTCAACAGACTTCTTATTGATCTTACAGTGGGACTTGCTTCTCAACTGATCCTTTGTCTCCAATAAGGTATTTTAACGTCCTCCCCAAAAACATTTCTAAACTTAACTAAGAGACTGACAAAAAATAATGGCTTTGTCCAAAACATCAATGTATTGTGTTGAAGAGATATATTTAAAAGATAGTAGTAATCAGTATAGTGTCCATTCTGCACAGGCTCCAATTAATGGCAAGGGAAATGCTGCTGAACGCTTAGATATGGAGGAATAGGTGCTCTGCTGAATGAAACAGCAAAGAAGCACCAGCGCCAACTTTGGGAAATAAACCACGTTTAGATTTATATGATAGGAGCAAATTGAGGATGTGCACTAAAGTCCGACTCGTAGACAGCTCTTGGAGAGTAAAGGATGATTCTGGCGGTAAACTGACATTGTTTCTTCTACATCGGTAAGATCAAAGCTTTTAATCTAAAGGTTTTAGGAGCTGCTAACAGTACAGAAAAGCCCAAACACCGTTTAACTCCAGAAACTCCAGAACAGTAAGATGACCACATTAGCCACGGCATCACCCAGATCTCAGGACAGATATTGTATTATTTGTTTTTTAAAGGAGTTGGCAACTACACTAACACTTTCTGGTAAAAGACTGCCTCCTGGTGGTGAAACTTCGGGTTACGTTTGCAATATGTGAATACAAAAAGTACCTTTCAATCAGTTTTCTTCTGACATTTCTAAAAAATGGCAAGGATAGAGTAGCAAAATCAGGAAAATTGTTAAACACATAGCTTTAATCTTGAAAGTGTGATTTGCACATTGCTCTAAACTCAGAAAATTTGAAACAATAGTTAATATAAAAATAATGATATAAATAATACAGTATAAATATAAATAACCCGCAGCAACAGCAGACACAGTTCAGAAAATTTAGCTTTAGGCCGAAATATTTTAAAAGGAAAATAATTAATAAGACCCCCCCACCCCACCCCCCCCCTCTCTTTTTTTTCAGTTTTTCTTAGTGTTAAAAACTCTAATGAGGAGAGTTATTGATATTAACACAATCTATATCTCTTACTCTTACTGTGTCACTTGCTCTGGGTGAGAATAGATAATGCACTGAAAATGCAACTATATAGTGTTATATTTATATAAAGACTGAGGTGCTTTCTGAGACATTTATAGCTGGTTTATACTGTCATGTTTTGTAATCTGTAATACTGAAATGTTTCTGGCAATTGAATAGTCCTTGTGGAACTGAGTCAAACTGCAATGTGTGTGTGGGTTTAATTGTTCTTGGACAACAAAAGATCATTATGGTGTGGATGAATAAGACGCATCAATGTGTCACAGGATATGCTGACAGTAACAAAATATCAAGCTTAAATGAAAGTTATCAGGTTATATGCTTAGGGAAACATACAGGGTTAATATGCAGTGCACAAAAGAAAGAGGGTTTACTGTGGGGACAGAAGATTTAGGAGTATTGAGTTAAAACACACAAACACAAACAGCTGCAGTAATGGTAATTTCCTCAGAGACCAGATCTTATTTTATTGTTGAATTTGGGGGGCATGAAGCAAAAGAAAGGAAGAATTAATCCCAGAGCACAGTCATGCTGAAGGCAAAGATGGCCTAATAATACCAGGGAGAAAACCAACATCACATTGTCAAAGGTATCTTTCTCACTGGTATCATTATGTTTCTTTTTATGTATTTTATTTGAGTATTTCTAGGACAAACTGTGATGGAAAAACAAAAGCTCTCACACTTACACATTCTTCTCATAGCTCATGTATTAATTATAACAATAGAAAAAAATGTGGAAGCAAAACAAGCACTGGCCCTTTAATGCACCTCTACGTAAAGCACCGGGAATATGGTCAATTCAACCGGAAGTCTCTTGATTCTAAGCGTTAAAGTATTACATTCCCATCCCGCTTCTTGTTTACCTGCATGCTTTATAATTTTTATTTCAGTGGCAACTCTTACTTTTATATAAATATAAAAATATAATGCTTTAATAATTCAATTTTATTGTAGCTTTATTCGCTAAATGCCCTTTATTCTGAAGTTTTCTCGGAAGTTGTGTATTTTTCTGCCTCTTCCAGTCACAGAGGGAACCGAGAAACCAGACGACAACAAAAAGCGCACGAGACATCACAGACGGCAGGAAGCGTCTCTTGTTGTGTTTAAAGGTGGGTGAGTTTGTTTTTATGTGTCGCAAATATCATTTTATTAACAGACGACGTCTTATCATTAAAGTATCCTAATAAAAGGGTTGTTTATTTAAGGGAGCAGATACACTAAAGCTAGGTAGACAAAGGTGCGCGCGTGTGCGCGCGGTTCTCTCAGTGTATTTAAATAACCGCGCGCCACTAGCGCTACATTTCATTTGTGATGTTTGGTTAGCATCTTCCTTTGTCAGACAGGCTATCTGCATGTCTTTCTGTGCCCCTCTCCTTTTGTGTTTGTGTGTGTGGTGCTTTGTTATGTATGACTCCTGAGATTAATTAGTAGACTTCTCTGCTTGCACTGGTGTATTTGCACCTGTGTCGTTTATTGTGTGTTTGCTGAGGGATTCATTGGTTATGTTAATGGTAGTGTAGTTAGGCTACCAGTTAAACTGTTTTAAGACTTAGAGTCACACTCACCCTGACAATTTTGTATGACAGTTTGTCAAGCTAGACTCATCTGTCCTAATACTTGCCAAATGTAGCTTTTTTAAATTGCTTAATAAAGCCTTTGTCATAATATTAAATACCATAAACCTCTTAAAGTTTTTTCTTTTCTATTATGTATTCTAACAGTTCAATAACAATTCTGAGTAATTCTCTTGCTGTTTAAGTTTAGTAACTGACATGATTTGTGTGTTTGTTATGATCTCAGAGACTCAAAATAATAATAATGATTAGAAACAATAATCACACTACATTTGTCATCAGTTAAGTTGTAGTCCAGCTGTTATATTTGCTTGGTTGGGATTTTCCTTTTGAAATAGTAAAACAGTACAAAAGAAAATGAGGATAAAACAGCACTTTAGCTCAAGTCTAAGGAATAAATCGTTTGAAATAACCAGCTTTACTAAATACAGGATAACGACATAGCTTAAACCATGTTGGCATGTAGTACAGCACACAGCCAAACAGCTTTTGCCGGCATGTGCTTTCTACAATTGTTTCTTTACACACAGCAGGCCTATCCTGGTGCAGCTAAGCAGATGGATGATGGTGGGGGGTGGATGGAGGAGGGGCAGGGATGTTGCATAAATAAGGGAGTAATAAAGAGGAGAGGATGGGAGGAAGGTAAGGAGGAGGGGAACATCATTAAGGGGATCTGCAAGCAAGAAAAAAGGATTAAAAAAAGCAGAGGGGAGTGAGACAGCAGGACAGAGTGCAGAGCTGAGGAAGCTGTGAGGGAAAGAAGTGTTAAAAAAAGTGACGATGAAGCAGGAGGAGGAGGAGGGGTGTTTGTTGGAACGTGTGAGGAAGCAGAAAGCAAATGGACTTCACAGCATTTTAAACACAGTCATTAATGTGTCTGTGTTGGGCTGTTATTGTAGTTGACATGTACAGTAGCTGAGCAGCCTACTTCATCCACATAGAATGAGTCCACGTCCTCATCAGTAATATCAACAAAAAAGCAAAAGTATTGTACTCCCATACTCATTGTCATACAGCTCAGTGAAGTTATGCTGCTACTCACGATGTGCATTTATTTGATGAGTCATACATACACAGTGTGAGTTCAGTTCAGGCGCACCGTCCGTGGTTCTACTTAGATTTGCAACATCTGTTTTTTGTTTTTTTCACACTGAGGATACACACACACACACACACACACACACACACACACACACACACACACACACACACACACACACATTCTGCTCTAAAACTGAGTAAACTAGGTGACTCATAACCAAAATAATTTAGCTGGATAAATGGTACTACAGACTGGAGTCAAATGTAAATATGTAAATATGATTTGGGGGTGCCCCTTTTAAGAGCAGTGGGCAGCCAGTAGGCTAGTCCCTTGGTCAGGGGAATTAACCTGACATGTTTTCAGTTTGGGAAGAAACTGGAGCTACTGGAGGAAACTGGAAGAGCAGATTGAAAAAGGAAGGTGCAGGTTTGAACTTTAAGAAGTTTCACTGTGAGACAACAGTGCTAAGCACCGAAGCATCTTATGCTCAGTCAGTTTCTCTCTTTTATGGTGTTCATTATTATTCATGGAGTTTTGCTGTCACCAGTCTAGACCCAAACAGGTCAGGGTAGTATCCAAGATTAAAATCTTGTAATGTTTTCTTTCACATTTGTTGTCATCAGCTTGGATAAAATGTGCATCAAAGCTGGATGATGGTGTGAATCTCATCTTTCAGACATTATACTTTACATCCAGTCCATCCCGTTCCACACGTCTCACTCTTACAGCTTCTCCTTTTACGTCATCCACTTTTGCCTGAGGTGTTGTGTAATGCCTACTCTAGTATAAACAGCAGGGTGTGTGTGTGAAGGCAAAACTGAGGGAAGATGAGTTTCCATGGCAGCCACAAACTGCAACAGCAGCTTGTCATAGCAACAAGCATAGATAAATGCATAGATAGATAGAAAGCATTAAAGAGGATGTGTGCCTCTTTGGTCCCTGCTCACTTTCTCTGTATTGCCATTGTATTGTGTGTGCTGTCTTGGCAGTGTATAGATTAGTCACACCCACATGCCCCCCCCCTCCCCTTTTTCCATGCATGTTCAATTCCAGAACAATCAGTGGAGCTCCACCCTCAGTCGCTGACATCACTGCACCCTGTGTGTTTGTCGTGCTGCGTTATGGGAGGGGGTTCAAAAACACGAGCATACCGTATACACCCGCAAACATTCCCACGTGCAGCAACTGAGCAGTGCAGTTTTATCTCATGCTAATTTATAG